CGACCAGCTTTCTCTTTCCATTTGCAACTTTTCGATTTGTCCTAATAAGTACCGATCACGCGATTTCTGAATTTTACGATCGATGGAACGCTACGTTATTTTACGGTCTTGAATTTCTACTCTAAAAGTTGCTCAGACGTCGATAGAGGAAGTCGTTCGGAGATCGTAGCGTCAGATCGTGCCATGGTTGTCAAAGTCATTCCAAGGACGTGTCATCGAGAGTGTGTAATTGGTTACCAAGGTTATTCGAAGGTGACGAGGATCGTTAGAATATTTTCACGATTCGAAGATATATTTTCGATACAACGACGCTCGTTTAAAGACAAAACTACCGAAATTTTGAGTAATTACTTTCCCCGGATGGATAATTTAAGAGCCATTATTTTTCTAGCGAATGCAAGGGTTCATCGCGAAAAAGTACGAACGACAATACGAGCTTACGAACGATCGAATCGATGCTACGTTATTGTCCGGCATGGAGCCAAGAAGTTTCCTGATAAAATTCAAGCTTCCACGATATAATGCGTACCGTCCCGATTTTGGGGGGCTATTGGCTGCGGGAAATACGATACCGGTGCCAAATGGGGTTCGCGATAAAAATTCGTTTCACCGGCTGGGATAGCATCGCGCAGAAATCGCAAGGAGACGTGCTTACATGCCAGAAACCGGGGAAACGCAAAATACGTTTTTATCAACGAAATTACATCTACGCGTCTCCTGCGAATTCATCCTCGAAGTTATATCCCCCACGCGAAAGCTCCTTCTATACCTCGCGAGCATCATCGCAGCGATTCCTCTCAAAATACCAAACTACTCCGCAACTTCCGCTATCGTATCCGCGACGAAAGAGTTATGCCAGCCTTCCATAAATCCCGAAAAAATATCACCAGTCCTATCCCATCCGCGTGATCATCCGTACTCGTCAAGGACCATCGATCAAATCGGACAAACTCGCTTCTTCGTCCGATTCGCAAATGCCACTTTCCTCGATGACGCTTCCCCATTCAACTCCAGCATTACCATATCGTAATCCGCACAGTCGCGGCTGGAACGACGCGCAAAGGCCATCCAGATTCCGTGGTGCATCCGCATCTGTGCAACTGGAAGCGCGTGCGAAGCGCATGGGTGCTTTTGTCGCGGGCACGCAGAATGCTTTGTCGTCTCGTTTCTCGTGGCAGAATGCCATGAGCAACCCCCTCGCAGGATCAACCCTGTCCCGTTCCCGAGGCAGCGTTCGACGTGACTCGTCGAGGGGGTAGATCGCGTGGCCCAGCTTCAACGTGCTCTCGTTGCACGTTGCTTGGCTAGCTTCGGTACAAGCCAAACACGCTCTGCAGCCTCGACTTTTTATCGTTTGTGCAGCGGTGTGTATGCCAGCATCGTCTGCTGCTTTTCTAGGTATCCCTGTCGTAAATGCGCCGTGGCCAAGGCAGGGGTGAGAACGATTCTTCGTGGTGCGAATCTGTACAGAGTTTCCATTCGGAAGTCACTGACACAGCCAGGATAATGGCTGTGGTTAAATTATTTTTCGAGATTGAAGTTTCATTTTTAGATCGTAAATGAACCTTTGGAACAATCGCAGGGTCTTCGATTATTTCTGCTTCAAACACTTGTACGTATCGATGACAGGACAGAGTATCGTTGATCCAGGGGTACAAAACCTTCTCGTTGTATAAAGTCCTTTGAGAACGAAAGTCTTCCGAATTACCCATCATACTCCCTCATCTTTCCGGCTATAAAATTTGGGAAGTTCCTTCTGCTATTTTATGTCGCGCGAATTTCGCGAGGGTTCTTCGAAGAATTTTTCCAGACAAAATCTAGCTAGGTTATTTAATTCTAACGTTGGAGGCTCGACGAATTCGGCGAAAGCGACGTGTTTCGCCAACTGATCAGCTATTTTGTAACACGCGCATATGGCAAACACGGTGATTAAAATTTTCGAATTCAATGGCCTCTTTCCACGGCGTTTGCGCGGATACAATCGAACGCGGGAATTAAATTTTAGCCATTTATCGGAAGCTCGGGATACGCTACAGCGATTCATCGTTGTACTTTACACCCCGCTTAATACCCTATTTAACGCTTGCTTCGCGTAATCGGACATGACTAATGAATTCGCGGACAATTAAGCAATTGCTCGTTTTCTCGCGAATCGTTGTGATCGGCCATGTCATTGGTGGATTGCGAATGCGACCAATTCGGTTTCTTACTTACTCCATCTTCCTTCCTTTTACTCTAATGTGCTGTCAATTATTCCACGGGGTGGCGAAAGCCAAGGAATCGATTCCTCGAATCTTATACTACAGGTACTGCTTTTTTCTGGACTCCCTAATACCACGAATTCCTGTCCACTCCTTACATCGTAAAATAAGATTCGTTCCTATCCAATAAGACTCGTTACTCGAGCGTTTTAACCCTTTGCACTCGAGAGGTGCCCTTCAGTCGCCATTTGATAAAATTTCGAAGATCGAAATTAATTAATATGTCAAATTTAAGATAATGTAACGGTGTCTAGGGTATGGAAATCAAATAGCTCTACATGTTGCAGTTCTATTGCTGGAAAAAATATCGTCAGCTTTATAGCAGAAACTCTTTGAACTCCTACTCATCTTCAGCCAAAAAATCGTCGAGTGCAAAGGGTTAATTCGTTTTTAACCCAATCACCCCGATAAAAATGCACGAGAAAATATAACGCGATCGTCACAAACTATACTTGGTTTACGTCCAAACAAATCGGACTCGATACCGGAAACTTCTTCCTCGACTATCCTTCGAGATGGGACATTTATCCGGCTCTCGTGCGATCCTCGAGCACGCCGATCTCAGCTCGACCGTGAACGTGATCCTTCAACGAAACGAACAACCTCTTATGATTTAACGTCACGGCTCCGGCTTCCGATATCCGCCGTAATATATCCGGTTGGTACCCTCTCCGATGGCGAGATTTGTCACCGGGAGAGGTGCAATATGAAAGAATTATCGCCGACCTCTTGCCCGCCAGGCGTTCGCATTACCCGTATCTCGTGGCGAAAGAAGCGCACCGATTTCTCGTGTTATTTCGAAACCTCGTTCCGCGGTTGGAACGATCTCTGGATCGCTGCTAGGTCGACACGAGATAACGGGGACCGCCCACGAGGAGGAACGTCCCACGATCCACGGACGCCGCGATCGCGACGCATCGATCGGATCTACCGGCTGGTCGGCGCAACGCGGACATCGGGGCGAGATGGAACGTATGGAAACGAGCGTGCAAACGTTAAAGCAAGGTGAAATTTTCACGAACCATCGCGTTCGTTTCGCGTCGCAGCCTCGGAAGGGTGAGGGTGGGGCAAGCTTGTAATCTCGATACGCCCTGCGATAATACATCCGCGGGGGGTGGCCGGACGGGGTACGTTATTGGAAGAACGCCAATGCCGATGATTTACCATGAAATCGGCTAGTTATTGCGCGGCAAACGCGGTTTCATTATTTATACGTTATATCGCAGCGATACTTTTCCGGCGAGCAGCCGCGCGCGGGAAATAAAGCGCTGTCTGCGTGCCGATGAAATAAGCGATTTTCGCGGACCCCGCCGCGAGTGAACGCGTGTACGTAGGGAGAAAGAGGGTCTCTGTTGGACGGGGAAGCCGAGGCGAAGGAAGGAGAAATCGATGTCGGACAAGAGCCTCGAATTATTACCGGATGTTTGGCAACCGCATCGATTTACAGACCTGGTTTCTCTTTTCCTGTCTATCGATGGGAACCTGGATGCGAGGTGTAAACGGAGCTACAATGGATCGAGCTTTCCCTGGGTTACAGAAGGTCTTCGTTCCAAGCGATATGGGTGATTACGGGGTTAAAAGGAGATCGATGTGCAGTTATACGCGGTTCATAAGTTAGCAGAGCACGAAGAGGGGTTGTTCGGTTACAGTTCGATAGATCAATGTTCCTTGACACGGTTATGAAGATAGGTCACGCGAATTTTCATTATTGTTACGTTCGGACGTATCATCGTATTGCAAGGAAGAGAATAAATAGAGCGATAAAGCATCGGTCTAATATGGGATCAGTTAATTAATTAACGTAAGATAAAAAGGAGACAAATGTAATTTTTATCTTATTATTATGGAAACAGAGTCGTCTTCGACGGGCCCAACGGTTCCAACTCGACTGCCGATTTATCAGTCGCGTACAGTACGCGTAATGGATTCTACAAAGCTAATTCGTGATAGAATTCTGAAATTAATTCGAAACAGTCCACCAGTTCGCTGGGAACCGGTAGAAAAGGGCTAAAAACACGCGTATTCCTCTCGACCTCGACTAGCCCGATTTATATTCCGTATACATATGTATCCTTCCGTACGATCGATTCAACCGATTTTTACAGGCTCGTCGTGTTTTAATTAAATTGGAACGTGTTGGACAAAAAGCGGGCGTGTGGGGAAAATAAAAACGAAATTGGTGTGCCAACGAAATTTGGCTTCTCGTTTCGGCCGAGCCCGGGAATAGTAAACGATGCTTCAAAATCGACGAGAATTCGTCGAAAACGCAAATCGCGAGTGAGATGCTTTATACTCGAACTTAACCTACAACTTTGGTTTACAACCACGTGTGAGACTCGTGGTCAGGTTTTCGAGCCAAAACTGATTATCACGAGTCTGGCACGTGGTACATCGGTCGGGTCAAAATTGACTATTACGGGCCTGACACGTGGTTCATCGACCGGGCCAGATGTAAGCACCACGTGTCATGCCCGTGGTTTGTCGATGTGCCCCTAACTTCGTTTATTAACCTTTATTGTTTGTTCTTTAATTTAATATATTTTTATATTTAATTTATATTTAATTTCCCGAATTATATTTTCCTAATAGACACCCTACGTAAGTCGTGCGCAATTGGTACAACTTAAGACAAATTTGCCGAGCCGCGGGATGGCTGGAAGGCTCGGCAGTTCTGTTTACGTTTTGGGAGCACGCTGTTGAATCTTAAATCGTAGGGTAAGGGGTTAATAGCTCTCTTACCTGGCCAGTTCTCCCTGAAGATGATGAACCCTGGAGCGTGCTCTCTCAGCTTTAGCCGTAGCCTCGCGTACCCGAGCTTCGGCCTCCATTCGTTGTCGTCGTTCGCGTTCCACATCTCGTTGCGTGGCCTCTGTCTGTAACAGACCAAACCAACGTTCCCATCAGTCAATGTAACGATTCTTATTCCAGCTCTGATCACGCGCGATATCTTTCTAATTTTAATCACGAGAGATCCGCGGAGGGAATCGCGTCTATCCAGAGATTATCCTATTTCTGTTCGACCAGTTCTCCCCCTGTGCCATCCAGCAACGTTCCACTGCCCTCCATAGCCGTGCTGGAGCCTACATTCCGAACGGCCCGTCTTATTCATGTGCAAATTTATTTCTCTTCGAAACCATTGATCTCCCGATGGACCAGGCACGCCTGTTTTTATTTCGCTCTCCGCAGATGTTCATCAGACGGACGCGATTCGCTCCCCTAGCCCATGATAATTTCCAACGCCGTTGCCACCCCTTCGACTCCACGGAGACTTGGCTGAAATCCTTCCCCGAGCGTAGACGCTTTTCGACTCGAACGAGCATAAGCGAGCGGATTTATCGTCGGCTCCACGGGACGCGAAATGAATCGTAAAAAGAAAGAAAAAAAGGAAACTTAACGAGCAAATAAAACGTCGGACAGTAGTCTGCCAGGCAAATACGTTCTATTTACGACCGCCCAGCATCCCGCCAGGATAACGCCGATCGAGGGACTCCGGCTTCCGGCGTCGTTACGCATCCGTCCGGAGATCGTCGTCGATCCCGATTTTTATTTTCGAGAAAGCTTGTTCACGAGCGGGCTACACGCCGCGTGTAGCAGAAGCGAGAAATTCGAATGGAACGAGAATTGTTTACGCGGTTGCGCGATTCGTTCCATCGGTGATGGGCATTCGTTGCGTTCGTTACCGGATTTTATGCTGGAATTAATCTCGGTTGAATCGTATGGAAGAGAGATAAATCGATCCGCAGAGGATTCGTAGTTACATCCACAGTTATTTCCCTTTTTTCGTGGTCTCTGTTTCAAACAGAAATAGCAACGATAAACAATTGGACGTGCGAGGGATCAAACGGAACAAATTTCGGGAGTTTATTATCTAGTAACAAGTTTATCTAGTAATAAAATTTGACGGCACTTCGATCTACGTCCAACACTTCGGATCGTTTCGATCACGCTGGAAATGGCGCGCAAACTGCTGGGAGTTAGGCGATTTTGATTATCCAAAATCGAAACGCTCGGGAACGTTTGGCGGACATTTTCTTGATTAAACCACGGGATGCAAGCTCGGCCCGATGGAGCGGACCATGGCGTGGCATGGCCGACGAAGAAAAAAAGGCGGAAGAGGATGGAAGGGAGCTCGTCGATCTTCGGCCCGGTCGGTGGGAGGAATTATTCATGAATTTAAATCGAAGCGTTGCACGGTACATTGATTGCACCCTTTCGATTCTGAGCGCGGCTAGAGCCTCCGCCTACGTTTCTGCTCCGAGTCCGCCGCGGCCCTATCAATAATTGCGCTCGACCAATGTGCCGAAAGCAGTATTTCACGCGATTTAACTCGATGTGCCCGCTGCGCCTATCGACCTCGATAATAAATTGCCGCCTGTGCCCGCTGGAACTTGGAAAACCGGCGACGAACTGCCTGGTATCGGTTCCAATTTGAATCGAGTCGGACCACGACTAAGCCGTCACCCTGGCCCCTTCGATGTTTCAATTTCGTTCCATCCTCGGCAAATTTCCTCGGAATTCCGTTATTTTATTTGCTAGCTTCCGGTGGATCTGTTGGCTCCGGCTGGAGATCGATTCGCGCTTTTCCGTCGCCAGCTAGACCGACGTCCCTTAGCCATACCGATGTTTCTTACGTCTGCTCGCTCTGGGGTACCAGGAGCGGGGACGAAGATCGTAGACAGCGAGCCAATTGATCTATTTACCGAAACGACGTTCTACCGGTTTGGAATTTCTCTAGATTCCCCGGGAACCGAATTGTTCGGGATAAATGTCATTTTCCAGCGGTCTTCCGCTGTCGCGAGACTTAAGGATCTTCGGAAGCAAGACGATGTAACGAAACTATCGTCGCGCGCTTGGAGACCAGTCGGAGACTGCCGACTGACAGAAATCTAATTTAAAGAACGATCATTCGAAGGTCTCGTTGTCTCCCGCAAGCTTCTTTCCGTCAAATTCGTTTAACCCCGCAAGGAACGTGGAACAGAACCGCGCGGCTCTTATCCACCCCTGCGCGTCTGGATCCCCAGGATCCTCCGATTTCGGCTTCGAATTCGGCGGAGAATTGAATCCTGCGAGAAACTCGACGCCTTCTCGATGGAATACAGGCGGAGAATCAGACGAGCTCGCTTGAAGTCATAGCGATCGTAATAGGAGGTGGTCCATTAAGCGGAGTCAGGTGAAAGGCGTTTAGTCGAGGGTCGAAACGAGAGATATCGCGGAATACAATCTGGTAAAAGCCGAGTGACCACAGCGAGCGGGGCTTAAGGGATGCTACGACCGGATTTATGGAGCCTTAAATCCCGGCCAACGTTCTCTCCCCCGTCGCGCCATTCTTCTTTTTTCGGGGGTGGTTGCTCCTCGGCACGTAACGCGATCTTGTCCTTATTCGGCTCGCGAGTGGACGAGGACGGCCGCCATTGCGCGGCTGACAACGGGTGTTGCCACCATAGAGGCAACCATAGAGGTCACTTTCGACTTTGTGACCGTCGTTTCGCGACAACGAGGATTTAAATGGACCCAGATATAAAAGCTCAAAAAGCTCTTGTATCGGCTCCGTTCCACCGTCGCTTCCAATCCCCGGGTTCGTCGACTTTTATATACTCTCGAGAGAGCTTTATCTATCGCGTGGTCGAGTAAAGAACACCATGTATCATTTACGACGAAAGCGGGAAAGGGTGGCCGGTCGGTGTCTGCTCGGTTCCTCGAGGTCGTCGAAAAATGGTGTCGATGCAAGAGCGAAGTGGGAATTAAGGAATACAGTAGCGCGTTCGTGAGGGGGAGCTTAACGTATTCCAAAAGAAACGGCATTGCTTACACAACGAGCAAGGTGATCACGTCGATCGATAGCCGCATGTGAGTTTCATTCGAGACACGTGCTTCGCGTGAAAAATTCACGCTCCTAACAAGATTCACCGGTGACCAATCTCGATGGCGCGTCCAAAGGACTCACCGACCGATTAACAAGTTTTTCCACAGTTCTAACAACCTTTTAGCGTTACCCGTTTCTTCCTCGTTAACTTCTTCCCGCGATTTTTCAAGCGGCAGCCTCGACTACTGCAAAAGCGTGATTCATAATCTAATTCCTCCAACATGTGCACTCGATCATTTATCACGAGGAGTTCATTTATATCCCCACTCCTGCATCGCGATCACTGCATCATCAATCATAAAAGAGTTATTTCTCATCTTCATCCCTTCTTCTGCAGTAGCCTCTATACGTACAACGTTGTACAAACTCGCGCTTTTCTTTTTCTTTACTAAAATTTTCTTCTTGGGACTTAAACTCCGCTTTGAACCTCGATCAACCTGTACGATCTTACCTAGCTATCAGAGAGTCCTGAATACGACGCTAATTACCAACGAGTATCGAATCCTACGTTACACCCTAACTCGACGCATCTCTCGACACTGGGCCTTAGCAATTGAGTCTAAGTGAACACTAGCTTCGTTACCGAAAGCACGATGATACTTTCGGCAAGATTTACACTCGATTATTACCCTTTATACACGGTATATTCAGCAACGCGTCACAGGTTGGTAGTTTCAGCGCTAATCACCTTCCTCCGCCGTAAATTTACAACTTCCCTCGTGCCTACAACCCTCAAACACGGATAAACCTCCGCGTCCATTTTACCTCGTGAAAAAAAAAGAAGAGAAAAGAAAGGGGAAGGGAGAAAAATGAATTTACCCGGTGGGAATTGAAAAAATCACAGTGTTCCATCATAGGGTAAGTTGGAAGCGCGGTTCGCCTTTAATTCAAAGCGACACACGCTCCTCACGAGCGAGCCGTGCAGCTCCTCTTCCATTCACCTCTCGGTATTAGTATTCTCGGTTTTTTCGGCGGCCAGGACGTCGGTTCAAAGTCCCCTGGTGACTCAGTGCTGGCGCGCGTGCACGCGTGCGTTTCATTCGGGGCACGTGCGAGCCGCGAGGAAGCTGCGAGTGGACCTCCGCGCCTCGTCCAGCCGACGTCGGCTCGAGTTAGAAGGGGCCCGGGCGCGTTTCGAGGGCTCGCTGATCGAGCGACAAATTATTAATGAGCTACGCCGATGATCGCGCGTACTCGGGCCGAGCAACGCGGCGAGAAGGCTCAATAATTCAGCACGCGAGCAAATTCTCGGCCGCGATCGGATTTCTAGCGTCGCTTCGCCCTTCGGAGAGGGGTTGCCCGCCTGGTCGAGGGGAAAGTAAAAGCTGGAAAGGCAGGTGAACGGTGTTGGAGCAAAGGGATTGATAGCTGGGTCACGTGCCACTGATCCTCGGCCTCTCGTCGCTGGGAAAGGAATCGCGATAAATCTTGCAGGCTCCTTCGCGCCTTCCGCGAGCCTAACGTCGCTCCGTGGGGACCCCAGAGTGCCGCTAGTTGCTTCGTTACGAGTCTTAATGTACCGATTAGCCTTCAGCTTTCCCAACGACCAAGGGTGCGTTTGCTGATAGCGACGTTGTACGTGGCGTGTACGCATCCCGTAGTTCGATGAGATTCGAGGGCCCAGTTTTCGTGAACTCTTACGCCATAACAGCTTATGCGAAATTGGGACTTAAAGACTACGAGTGTCTAGGAGTCTCTGTATCTTCTTTAGTTAGAATCGTTCGCAGTAGTATCCATCAATGGATAAGTAGTCAGGTCAAGTCCTTCTCAGGTCAGTTCTTTTATATTTAAAATTTTCGTCTGTCTTATAATTGCTATTACTTTTTCGTATAAAGTGTACCAAGGTTTAGAATACTCGTTATTAGCGAATTATTTAATCTGACAGATAGATCTGTTGGAATAAACCATAGTCGTGCAAAGATGATGTCGGTGGTGCTAGATATCGCAGGCCAAGTAGCGAGGTTTGGGTCTTCGAGACCCTTACTATTATACTGACGTCGAGGAATCGTC